TATCGTTCAGCGACGATGCGTGCTGCGTACTTGTCCCAAGATCGACTTGATATTGGGCACGCAGTCAAGAACCTTGCTCGAGGTATGGTATCACCAACAGAAGCCAAACTTGCTGACTTGAAGCGTCTCATCAGGTACTTGAAGAAATACCCTGATGTTGGGCAATGTTTTGGATCGCAACAGACACCTTCAAGGCTGAGGGTGCAGGTCGATGCCGACCATGGTGGTGACGCTGTGACACGCAAAAGCACGACTGGCATGGTTGCTATGTACGGCATGCACGTGTTAAAGCACAGTAGTAACATCCAATCCACTGTAGCCCTTTCTACAGGTGAGAGTGAATACTACGCACTTGTGAAGGGAGGATCTGTGGGCTTAGGCCTCCAAAGCCTATGCGCAGACCTTGGTTTGGAATTAGGAGTCACCATCGAGGGCGATTCCAATGCAGCCAAAGGAACTGTGAATAGAGTGGGTTTGGGTAAAGCCAGACACATCCAAACTCGCTACCTATGGTTGCAAGAAAGGGTTGCCGAAGGCCACTTGAAGGTGCACCACGTTCCAGGAGTCAAGAACAAAGCCGATGTTTTGACCAAATCGGTTCCTGGGGTGCAGCTTCGCAAAACCATGGAGGATCTGCAATATGCATTCCTCAGCAAGCGAAGCAAAGGACAGTTAGATGTTTTGGAGTAAGGTCCCTGGCCAAGCTCCACTACCACAACTGAAAGTGGCTAAGCAGCGAGAGTTTCACATGTTTACTTTTATGCTTGCGCAGCAGTACAGTGCTTTGCAAGAGGAGGAGTGTTTGTATGTACAGCCCATATATACTCCGCTATAGGTACTGCAGACACGTGACTCTTGACGTATTTTGGCTCAAGAAAAGGCGTTCCGAAACGTCGAAACTCTGTTTTCATGCAGTTTCTACATTGTTCTACTGACAGTGAACTGGTACGCAAGTAGCAAGGTGGTGCTTCAATCATAGGCTGGCCAGTAGGGGAAAACCTTTTCAGTTATGTCCCGATCTTTGCTTGCATGAGCTTGCCAATCTTTTTTGAGCGCACATTGCGCTTATATTGCTGGCTCTCCTTTCATGCCAAGAATTGGAGCATTTCTCAAACGACACTTCCACTTCAAAATCTTCAGAATAAATTATTGGAAAGCAAATCAACAATAATTTCCATGGATGAGATTTGGGTTGGTGGACGTTCTTGATCCTATCCCACTATATAGTGATTGCCAGAGTCGCGCACCCTCCAGTAAGTCATTTTCATTCTTTGCCTCCCAAAATGCATTTGCATCTAACCGACTAACGCTTTATTAATTGTTCTTTAACGGTGTTGTTCTATTTAGAGTCCATATTGTTTATTATCTATAGCTATTATTTTAGCATATTCTAGTTGGTTTGTATTGTTTTAAAGGAACCTTTTCTTCTATTGAGTCTATACCAGTTATTTCGATTTACCGCTGACATGTATGGAACGTGCTTCGATTTACCGCACCAGTCCGGACGTCCGGTCTGGTGGTCCGAGGTCTTCCCAGAAAATTCGGCCGCACTTGGCAGGACAAATGGTGTCTACAATTGTTTTATATAGTATACAACTTGTAGTTTATAGACGTCTTTAGGTGAACTTATACCTAAGTCTTCCTCTAGGGTTACAATTTCCGCTTTTTCGATAAAAACCAGGTTTTTGATGGAATCGACGTTTTTTGGAGTTTCGACGTTCCGCTGCGACTTTGAATCAAATGAGCAGCACTCCTATGCTCAAATCCTGATCTTCTTGGACATCTTGACCGCCAGCATCCTGTGCGCCCTTGGCTGACCTTTTCCCCTTTGCATGTCTCTACTTCTCACCCAGCAGGTATCCGGTCCTACAACCTCTTCATGCTGGTGGGCCATGCATCGAACTTTATAGAGGCCGGAATTTGTATTGCTCCAATTCTCTCATGACAAATGCTTACAGGGATTTACACCCCTAGCCCTAGCAATCCTAAATGGATGTTGGTTCAACTACTTGTGCACTCTGGGTCTTGGCATGCATGTGCCTTTGGTCCATCAGCTTCGCTTCTCTCACAGCCTCTTCCCGTGCTCAAGTCAACTTGGACAGACTTCGGATCGACCATGGCGACAAGCGACCTACACAAATTGTGGGAGGAGAATGGTAACATTCGTGATAGAGCCCGTATGAACAAAGCCCTTTGTGAGTGGCCGGCTCCGCATTTGGTCGGTGCTGCTACCAAGCAGGCTTTCTCTCTTAACAAGGTCATTTTGGAGAAGACTGCTTTGTGGTGGTGCACCCAACACCAGATCCCACAATCAGTGCCCATAAACCTCATCAGGATTGAGGCGGGACTCCATTGCCATGTTTAAGGTCATGCAATTTCTTTCGGTCAACCTTTCTCCCAAAAATGGGTCCAGTCAATGTTCAACCCTTGCAGGTGAAGCGTTTCCGTGAGCTCATGCAACTCCCTGCTAGCGACCTGGGAGTTATGAGTGTGGATTGCTGGGGAATCAAAAAGCTCTTCACCTTTGCTTTGCGCCGTTGGTTGGCTGGTAGCGTTACGCCACGAGATCTTCGTCTCTAAGTTCTCAGCATGTCCTTTTTTCCTGGCTAAGGATTTATGTACAGTAAAGAATTTCAATCAGGGTTATGGAATTTTGCTGGCGTTTTGCTCAGGACTCTTGCCTTCTGGACATTTGGGATATCTTTGACTCCCATTGGGAGGCTCAGGGTGGAGATGCATCTGAACCAGAAGCACAAGCTCCCTTGCTAGCAATCGAGGATGGCCCCGTCAATGGTGTTGTGATCGAGCTTGATCCAGAGGAATCTGGACCAGAACGCCGGCCCGCGGCTGACGATGGCTATGGATTGGTTGAATCCACTTCCGCCACCCATTCTTCTGAGGCAAAGACCAGTGAGGCCATCCCTCCCTCAAGTTCTCCAGGAGTCCTGCAGGACCGCATCAATCAGCTCAGGCTGGGTAACAATAATAGGGAAAATGTTTATGCCCTCTATACCATTGTTTCTTTGAGACTGGTCTTTCACAAAATGTTTCATGATTGGTTTTCCACTGTGCAGGGCCGAGATTGCTGTCCGCAGAGCGTCTTCGCAACCCTCCCCTCCAGGACTTTTGGGGAGTGTGGAAAAAAGGTTGTAACTGTAAGACACTTTGTTATACCCCCAACCACGGTTCACTACGAACAAACAAGCAAACCCTTGAAGGAGGTCCCCCCATCGATTGCGCGGACACTCTTCCAATGGATGTGGATCTGCTCTATCTGGCCGACACCTGTTCACCAAATACCAAGAATGAGTGGATTGCTGCTGAGGTCGCCCTGGAATCGGAGCCTGAAGTCAAGAAGGCTGAGACTGAGGTGTCTGAAGTCAAGAAGGCTGACAAGCCTATGGAGCCTGAAGTCAAGACAGCTGAGGTCGTCCTAGGGCCTGAAGTCAAGGAGGTCAAGACGGCTAAGGTCGTCCCGGCACCTGAAGTCAAGGAGGCTGAGGTTCCCCAGGAG